CTGGAGCGCTTGGTCCTTCCTCTGCTCACCTTCCCATTTCACTGAGGCAGTCACCTGATGCAGGTCACATAATCTTTTCCAGAACTTTGAATCTGGAGCGAGCTTCTCTACAATTAAGTTTTTTTCTTTAGATAGCCAGAATCAGTTTCTGTTGCTTGCCATCAATATTTCTGACCTAATTCAGGAGCTGTCCAGGCCCCTGGTTGCTAAAAAAATCCCACCATGAGCCTCAGCCCCTCCAAAGCCCAGGCAAGCTGCAATGCCACAGGCCAGGTAGCCGGGAGCCCTTTTGCATCCCCGCACCCAACCCTCCAGAGAGCCAGCCCGACCTTGTGATGAGGCTGCCCTGCCGTCAGGCCCAGGAGGCTGGTGCCTAGTAAGCTCTCCTCGGATGTGGGGTCAGGCAGGGAAACACAGCACTGGGTCTCGGGCCAGCCACTGTCAGAGGAGGCCGGTCTCCATTCTACCGGCCTCATGACCCCCAGAAGAAACAAGCTCTGCTTCTCCAAAGACGTCAGCCAGAAGCCCTTCACTGGAGTCAATCTACAGAAGAAAACAGCTGGCAAAGGAGCCGTGGACGCAGCCGTTCCCAAATGACGGCAGCAATAATAGTGGCTAATGTTTATCGAGTGCTTACCACACGCAGGCTGCTGTTCTAGGAACTTCCCGTGCTAAACTTAGCTCTTTTGTTCTTCACAACAACCCTATGAGGTAAGTACTATTAGTTATTAGGCTGGACGTTTTACGTGTGGTCTCATCGAATCAACACAAAACCCCTATTCAGAGAGGAAACTGAAGCATAGAAAAGGGGAGTAACTTGCCTGAGTGGCAGAGCTGGGGTTTGAAAGCAGGCAGCCCAGTCCCTCTGTGAGCCCCTCTCTCAATCACTGCACTCACCATCCCCTGCCTACCCCACCGCTCCCCTCCTTCGTCACCTTCCCCAGCCCCATCAGAATGAACCGTGGAAGAAGTAGGGCCCTCAGTCAGACAGACCTGGGTTCAAAGCCAAGGTCTACCATTTCCTCTCTGTGTGACCTCGGGCATGGTAGAAGCCTTGCCGGAACCTTAGTTTCCTTAGTTGGAAATGCAGGGCAATCAGGCCGACCTGGTAGAGGTTTTGTGACAATTCAACAAGACGACATGTAGAACGCCTGGCACAGTTCTCAACACACAGTAGGTGCTTGCCCCTCCCAGTCGGCTTGTCGACATATGTGCAAGAGCACCTACTGTGTGCCGGGCAAGTGGGGGAGGCAAGAAGTACAGTGGAAGGGACAGTCCTTACCACCATCACCCCGTCAGCATCACCCTAGTTAGGAAAACAAGATGCACACATATCCACTAGACTCAAACAGCTGAGTGAGGCTTGAACAAGGTAAGACGGGGTTAGTTCTAGAGGACAAGGAGGTTCTGTCTGGGGAGGAGCACACAGTGGGGCTTCTGGAAAGCTGGTAATGTTCTATTTCTTGATTAGGTGGTAATTACACAGGAGGGTATTTACTTTCTATTCATTTATAAGCAGTGCCTACATCCTGTGTGTGCTTTTCTGCACATAGTTCATAGTTTAAAAAAAAAACTTTAAGCCTGACATAACAATGTTATAGGGTCTAAGCGGCTTGAGGGCAAAGGTTGGGTGTGAGACTGGTGCCCAGTGTTAATCCCACACTGGGATGCCTGCCCCATGCACACCCACCTCACCCAGGGTTTTAGAGCTTTGTGGATTGTTCTGGAGACTGTCTGGTTTGAGTCCTGACCCTGCTACTTCCTGGCTATATGAAGGAGTCTCTCAAACTCTCTGAACCTCAGTTCCCGCATCTCTAAAATGAGCAGATAACCCCCAAGTTGTGAGCATCAGGCGAGATCCCCTATGGAGATCAGCGAGCACAGTGTACCAGCACACAGCACACGCCCCAGAAACACTAGCTGCTCGAGTGAGGCAAAAAGTCGAATCTCTTGGCTTGTTTGACCAAACGGGGCAAAGGTAGATTCCTGTAGAGCTTTGGCAATGAGGAACCCAAGGCCTAGGCCTCCCTTCAGACTGTTTCTCTCCATTTCCGTCTCCTTTTCTCTCTGCATTTGGGTTTTGTTCTCTCCGACCAGCTTTTCCTATGAGATTGGAGACTTGGCCAACTCCTACTCAAGTCTTCCTAGCTTCACCTCCAGAAAGAAAACAGACTTTCTTCCTTTGGTTAAATGATGAAAAGTCCCAAGGAAGGACTCTGATTGGTCCTCTTGGGTTACAAGTCCTCCCCTGTGACCAACAGGGCTGTGACGGGAAGCCCCAATACAGTCATGCACGACATAACGACATTTGGTCAGTGACAGACCTCATAGATGACGGTGGTCCCAGAGGATTAGTACCAGACAGCCTAGGTGTGCAGTAGGCTATACCATCTAGGTTTGTGTAAGTGTACTCTATGATGTTCGCACAACGACGAAATCGCCTAATGATGCATTTCTCAGAACGTATCCCCATCGTTACGCAACACATGACTGTAGAATCTTGTGACTGGGGAGAAGAAGGACCTGGAACAAAGGAGGATGCTGTTTGCAGAGGAATGAGGGGCACTGAGCAGACAGATAGTACCTGATCTCCCTGCAGAGACCCTATGTGAGCAGCAGGTGTGTGAGCCAAACCCCTCCTCCCACAGCTAATTAGAGGTGAACGTCCAGCCTGATTGGGGCTCCTTGAAGGGCCTGCCTCTTCCCCACCCAATCTCAGTCCAACTGGATTCTGATGGTAATAATACCATATTTCTCTTTGGGAGGGAGAGCATGTGTCCCAAACCTGCTAATCAAAGCATCATGTCCCCTGGCCATGGGGTTTGGCTCAAGGCTAAGCCAATGACATAGAAGGATTTTTCTATGAATATAGCTGACCCAGAGGAAAGCTGAGCCCAGTGATAGAAAGAGGTTCCTAATCATATTATTTGAATACCTAGCTGGCCATGCCTGAAACTGGACTTTCCTCTGGATTTTTCAATAGTTACATGAGTCAATAAACTCCCTGTCTTTGCTTACATCATTTTGACTGGATTGTTTCACTTGTGAGCAAAGGAGCCCTGACTCATTCGTGCGTGCTTGAGCTCCAAGGTCCTGTAGAGTAAAAGCTGGGAGCCAATATGAGGTCATGGGCATGTGAAAGGTAGGAAGCTGGAAGTGAGTGACTAATGAAGCTGACAGTCACAGAGAGGCAGATAAGAGGGAGGCCACGTGGCCTCTGAGAGGCAAAAAGAGAAACCTCAGGCTCTGACTTCCCAAATCGCCAGTCTCAGTGAGGCCTCGCTGTTTGCCATCCCCAGGCTGCCTGTCCATGAGACCACCTGTCATATCCTTTGGTATCCCTCCTGTAGATAAGCTGGCTCCCCAGAGAAGGCCGATACCTCCTCATCACAGCATCATCACACCTCATGGCATTTGGGAATTCCTAGGGAAGACGCGAGGAAGGGGGTTTGGGTGGCCAGGGCAAGCCTCAGGAAGGATGTGGGAACTGGCTGGGCCTTGAAGCAGTGGTTTGGTTTGAATAGCCAGAAAGAATGGGGTGTGCGTGGGCACTGCGGGCAGCAAGAATCGTGTGAGAAAAGCTTGGAAGCTGGAAAGTGCACAGCATAGTCAGGGGCAGAGAGCAGACCTGTCCGAGCCGAGAATTTGTCACAGAGAGCAGAGAGAGAAGGCTGGGCCCAATGGTGGAGGGGCCTGTGGGCCAGGCTGCAGGGGTCCTCTAACTGCACGTGGAGGGCTCAGCATGGAGCGCTCGGAACTAACCAGCAGCCCTGAAACTCTGAACTAGCAAAAGCAGATCTGTGTTAGCAGACCCTGAGGAGGAAGTCTGTGGCTGTGTGCACAAAAAAGATGCGTCCACTGGAGGTGAGCATGGCGGGGAGTGGGGGTCCAGCAGAGAATGTGGCAAGAGTTCTGGGCTGTTGCTTTGCCATGGACCCCAAACAAACTCCCTCGGGGCTTCCCTTCTAGACTCTGGCCTCCAACAGCATCCATCCCGGTGTGAGGGGGATGCAGGACAGTTTCCAACAGTACTAATAGTGACATTGACTCATTCACTCACTCATTCATTCAATAAGTTTTTTTTTTTTTTTTGAGGAAGATTAGCCCTGAGCTAACTACTGCCAGTCCTCCTCTTTTTGCTGAGGAAGCCTGGCCCTGAGCTAACATCCGTGCCCATTTTCCTCTACTTTATACGTGGGACGCCTACCACAGCATGGCGTGCCAAGCAGTGCCATGTCCACACCTGGGATCCGAACCAGCAAACCCCAGGCCGCTGAGAAGCAGAATGTGTGAACTCAACCGCTGCACCACCGGGCCGGCCCCTCAAGAAGTACTGATTGAGCACCTTAACCATATACCAGGCATTGGGTTAAGTCCTAGGGAGACAAAGGTACACAAGACATAGACCCCAGGCCCCATTGAGCTCACAGTGGGGCAGACACTGAGGGCAGCCTGCTCAGCAGCCATTCCACCTTCTGCCTTTAGAGAAACGTGATTTTGTCTGTGCCACAGTGTGCCCAATCAATACTGGCAAGAACAGTTTCTGCTCTGGGCCCCAGCCTTTAGAGGGTCCCACGCTGACCCCCCTCAGCCACGCCCATCCCAATGCAGAGAGGAGTCTGTAAGGCCAAGAGGATATGCCCACCTAAGCCCACACTCCGGGGACCTGGCACCCCACTATTCCCTGTCCAAACAGCCTCAAGCCCGCTTCCAGCCTGCGGGAGGGAGCCCTTCCCTGACTCACTCTCCCGAGGGTGCAGCAGCACCCACATTCCTAGGTTTGAGGGGCGGCCAAGGGGTGGCTGTTTGTAGGAGGGGCAGACAGAGCTCGAAAGTGGGGGCTGGCGTGTCCACAAGCCTGTGTGCGGGACCTCACATGGTACGGGATTGGACCGGGGATGGGAAGAGAAGGAGGATGGGTGGTGAACCAGGAGCCACATTCTGGCACAGGACTCTGAGGAGTTGAAGGATTCTAAATTCACACCTGATCTTCCACGTGGTTTTGAAGGTGTATCTGTCAGGTTAGCAGGTTAGGACATGTTTTATTTATCATCATGTGTTCTTGCCCTGAGCTCCGCAAATGTTACAACTGGCCTGCCCCCACCCACGGGGGTCTGGGCCAGTGCCCTGTCCCAGATCCTTGCTTTCACAGACTCCTTTGCAACCAGGGGTGGTCATGTGATCCAGACATGTGATCCCAGCAAGAGGGTTTCTGGGAAATCGTTTCCACTGTGACCCTTGGAGAGAAACCCAGGAGGAAGAACTCACAAAGAGAGCTCTCTTTTTCTCTTTTCTTTTCTGCTTTTGAACGTAACTGCTGAAGGATGCTTGCAGCTGAGGGAGCCATCTTTGGACCACTGGGTGACACAGTGAAGGACAACAGCCAATGTGCTGAGGATAATGAAAGACAGAAAGAGCTTAGGTCCTTGCTGACATCATTGAGCTATTGGGACAATTCTGGAACAACTGACCTCTGGATTTATGCTCCATCCATCATCAGTGTCATTAGGATTTTGGCCACTATCTTGGTCAGCATTTGATACTCGCAGCCATGACCAGCCATCCTAAGGGAAACATACATTCTTATGACTGGTGAGAGAAATCAGTCTGGCTGGAAGAACACTAGTCTGACTGGTGACCATCTTGCCAGCCCATGGGGAGGATTTTCCTACAGGTAAAGTCAACCTGGAGGAAATGGAGAATTTTTTGCCATATCTGCTTACCACTTTTACTATCACTGTTTTTATTAAAAATAATCTCACTTTGCTTAATGTTTTAAAAGGAAATATATCACTGTCATAAATAAAAAACCAGGATCATTAGCCATTATAGAAAGTACTAGAAAAATTTAAAAAATGAAATCAGTACTGAAAATAAAAAAATAAATAACACTACGTGCAATGTGGTATCCCAGACCAAATTCTGGGACGGTAAAAGGACATCAGTAGAAAAACGAGTGAATAAAGTCTATACTTTAGTTAATAGTCATGCACCAATATTGGTTTCTTAGTCTTGATGAATGAACCATGGTTGTGTAAGATGTTAAGACTGGGGAAACAGGGTGAAGGATATATGGTTCTTAGGTAAGAATTCTGTACTATCTTTGTAACTGTTCTGTCAATCTAACATCTTCCAGAATAAACATTTATTAAATAAATAAATAACAGAATGATTAACTCTTAACTCACTATTTTGGAGCGCTGAGGCCTGTTCTCCCTTCATTAAAAAGGAAGATCAGCAAATGTTAGAGGAATACAATGGAATATTACTCAGCCTTAAAAAAGAAGGAAATCCTCCCACTAGCAATAACATAGATGAAACTGGAGGACATTGTGCTAAGTGAAATAAGCCAGACACAAAAAGATAAATACCGCATGATCTTACTTATTGGTGGAATCTAAAATTGTCAAACTCATAGAAGCAGAGAGTAGAATGGTGGTTGCCAGGGGCTCGGGGGAGGGGAAGGGAGAAATGAGGAGATGTTGGTCAAAGGGTACAAAGTCTCAGTTATGCAAGATGAATGAGTTCTGGAGACCTGATGTACAGCGTGGCAACCACAGGTAACCACAGGTAACCATGCTGTATCGTATACTTGAAATTTGCTAAGAGGGTAGATCTTAAAGTAAATGTTCTCAACATACACACACACAAATGAGAACTATGTAGGGGTGATGAATTAAGTTATTTAGTTTGGGGGCTGGCCCAGTGGTGTAGCAGTTAAGTTCGCATGCTCCACTTCAGCAGCCGAGGGTTTGCCGGTTGGGATCCTGGGTGTGGACCTATGCACCACTTATCAAACCATGCTGTGTTAGGCTTCCCACATATAAAGGAGAGGAAGAGGGGCATAGATGTTAGCTCAGGGCCAAGCTTCCTTAGCAAAAAATGGAGGACTGGTGGTGGACGTTAGCTCAGGGCTAATCTTCCTCAAAAAAAAAGTTATTTAGTTTGATTGGGGTGGTCTTTTCACAAGGCATACATATATCAAAACATCAGTTGTACACCTCGAATATATATAATTTTATATGTCAAAGATATCTCAATAAAGTTGTTTAAAAAAAGAAATATATATACTATATATATATATACTTTTCATTTGTTCATGAACCTGTAAGTCACAGAGAAAAACGGTTTAAACATGAGTTTAATTAAAGGCCTTGACAAGAAGTTTATAAGAAACAAAAATTATATCTCAAAAAAATATTCAATAGCATCAAACTATGCTCTCAGGAGAATAAGGATTGAAGGGAATAACTTTCTCATGTATGATCCAAGGTGATTTAATGCAAGTTCATGTACCAGCTAAAGGTGTCTCGTGTACCACCAGTGATATGGGTCTCACACACCAGAAAATATCAGATCGGGGCAAGTGCAAAGCCTTCTTAGATAAGAAGCAGGTAGAGTGACATCACCCAAGCCTCTATGTAACAGATAAGGCAGAAGGCTACAAAATTATTACCTACCACACAAGAACCATGGGGGAAATATTAACCCACGTGGCTTTGACCCCAAACCCCTTCCACTCAGCTTAGCCAATTCCAGTTGATGGTCCAATTAACAAAAAGATGTTTATTTCTTTGGGTCACAGACGCCTTGGAAACACAGACAAGAGATTGCTCAGCAACGTAACAATATCCGTGGTAACCACAAGCCGTCCGCAGCACCCTCCACCCTGGCCTCCCACTGAAGGTGTGTCCAGTCGTTCCCCACAGGGGCCCTGTTTATTTCTGAGCGTCATTAGGAAAGACGTGACCATAAACGATCGTCTGGGTCACTCAGTCTCAAGTTCAGCATGACGGTAGCATGCTGACGGTAAGGATACTCCACGGGAAGGGATATGGGGCTGCCTTCAGTGACATCATCCCCAGAATTCAGTTTCACTCCACAAACACTCATGCCAGGCCAGGCGCTACCTACATCCTGGAAGGACAGACATCTATGGAACATAGCAAGGAGGCTTCCCCTGCTGGGCATCCATTAGCCACAACTCCTCTAAGTATCTTTGAACCTGTACTGACATTTAAGCCCATGGGAGGGCACGACAGCACAATCAGCCAGATCTGGGATCAAATCTTGGCTCTGCTATCTTGTAGCTTGGTGACCCCGGCCAAGTTCCTTAACCTCTCTGAGCCTCCGTTCCTTCCTCTGTGAAATGGGGCTAATAATAGTATCAACTGCAGAGGATGAAGTGACATAAAATACGTATGGAAAGCACATAGGGCCAGCCACACAGATAATGCTTCCTAAACAGTATTCGTGGTTATTTCCATCATTTCTGGGAGAATCAAATCCAATCATTTAGTTTTTCCAAACCTGATTGATCATCAGAATCACCGGGGCAACTTGTAAAAAAAATAAATTCTCAGGCTTCAACACCCCCAAGAAATTCTAAATTGGGTAGGTCTGGGGCAGGAGCCAGGAACCTATGCCTGCGTTATGTACTTTTATTGCGCCTAGCCCATTGCAGGCCCCTTCCCGGGCCTGGACTATTGCAACAGCTTCCTAACCGGTTGCACGTGTCCACTCTCAGCCCTCTCTCCTCCACAAGGAACCAGTAGGATTCTTCTAAAAGGTGAGAACACGTCACACCACTGCTCCAGACCTCTCCAACTCTCCATCTTATGCAGAATAAAATCCACAGACGAGGTCCTACAACAGTGGCTCCTGACGCTGGGCACATGTCAGAAATCCCTGGTGAGCTTGTGAACAGTACCTATGCCTCGCCCAACCCCAGACCAACAGAAGCAGAATCTTGGGGAGTGGGGCCCAAGTACGGCTGCCAGATAAAATACAGGATGCCCAGTTACACTGGAATTTCAGATTCACAATGCATAACTTTTTAGTATGTGCGAGGCAATATTGGGACATACTCATACTAAAAAAGTATTTATTGTTGTGTATCTGAAATTCAAAGGTAAGTGGGTGTCCTGTGTTTTTATTTGCCAAATCTGGCGACCCTAGATCCAAACATCAGCCTTTTTAAAAAGCTCACAGTAATGTGGACCTCACTCCCTCTCTCATCTCATCTCATCTACTCCCCCAGTGCTCTCTACTCTGGCCTTTTCCTTGAAAGCATCAACCACATTCCCCCCTCACCATCTTGGCAGTGGCTGGCTGCCGGGGATGCTCCGCCCCATAACCTGCCGGCTTCCCCTCACCTCAAATGTCACCAGCAAGACTCTCTGACCTCTGCAGTAGCACCACCAGCCTGAGTTCCCCTCACCCCGCTTTACTTGCTAGGTCCTTGCCCGGGATCCAAACCTGTGAACCCCGGGGCCACCGAGGAGGAGTGCATGAACTTAACCACTACACCACTGGGCTGGCCCCTTTACTTTTTCTTAATAACAGTAATCATTACCCAATGGATTATCTATTTGTTTGGTTCCTGTGCATCTCCCCTCCCCCACACACTAGAATGTAAGCTCCATGGCTTTGCTGGAAACACGTGGTTCTTTCCCCTGCTGTATGTGCGATGCCTGGAACCCCACCAGCTACTCCATACATACTGGCTGAATTGGTCAGTGTTACGAAAAGCTTCTTGTTCCAGCACAACCCCCAACATTCCTTTGGGAGGAGTCGATAGAAGACATCTTAGTAGAAGCATCTTTTATCAGGAGTAATAGCAGCTCGTTTTTATTGAGTGCGTCCTGTGTGCTGGACACCGTTCAAAGCCCTTTACCTGTATATCCTCATTTAATCCTCACGACAACGGTTGAAGGTTGTGGGGGCCAGAAATATCCTCATTTTACAGCTGAGGAAAGTAAATTCTTCAGTGATCAACACCAAACCTCAATAATCTCAAAGGCATACACCAAAGGAGTAGACGTATTTTCTCCACCTTACCTACATGTAGCCTCCATTATGGACTAGGTCCTGTGTGCTGTTCAGCGGGGGTGCCTAGGGTGAGGGGTGGGCAGTGGGCATGGCTGTAACTGGATCCAATATTCAGAAGCAAGAATGTTCACCACAGAGTCTCCAACTGAATTAGAGACAGGGCAAAGCCATGGTGCAAAATGGCTCCTACACTGCCAAGCCGATCTGGCTGGAAGGGGCCACCAGACACCGAGCCAAGGAGGGCCGGCGGGAAGCTTTTTTTTTGGTGTCCACTTCCATATGGCGAATATTCCATCTTGACAAGGCCCAGGAGGGCGAGCAGATTTTGCCACCCTAAAATATGTCTCTTTGGCACGAGGATTATTTTGAGCTAAAGGCAATCAAACCCCAGCAGATGAGGAAAAGCTCTTGACCTCCCCCTCAACTGCCTACATTCACATTGGAAAGGGGGCCTGGAGCAGGAAGAGAGCTAGTCACAGAGCTACCTTTTTACCTAAGAAATTTATCTGCATAACAGGACAACCTCTGTTTTTCCAAACATCTCCTCCGCCCTCCTCCCCTTGGCATCCCCAGGTCCCTGCTCCTCTCCTTAGCTCAGGATGGCAGACGGGCTTCAATTACCTGGCTGCCTTGTGAGTCTTCATATCCTTATGGGGCTCCCGGACATACGAAATTAAATTTGTTTTTCTCCTGTTAATTTGTCTTATATCCATTTCACTGATAGAACCTAGAAGAAAGAACCTAGAAGGGAAGAAAGGAAAATTTTTCCTTTCCCGTACACTTACATGCTCAGACACAACCCCATGGCCCTGAATAGCGCACATTATTGACCCATTTGACCCTCATGACAGTCCTAGAGGTAGGCAGAGCTGCTCCTCTTGCCGTGATGGACCAGTGGGGCGACGATGAGATGGAAGCCTAGCGTATTCCACAAGGGGCACGGGTCACAGGCTCTGCGTGGAAGCTGGTCTGTGACCCTGCCCAGTGTCTTTTCCACTCACAGTACTGGGCTGCCTTCACCAGGAGAAAGAGCAACAGACTTTGTGGCCACAGTGACTCACCCTCTGGCTCTGGCATTCCTTATTGCTGTGGCTTCTGTGTGGCCGGGACCAGAGCCTCAGTTTCCCGTCCTGTAGAATGGGTGTGATGAGAATTCACAGGGTTGCTAGGACAATAAGATCAATTCACCCATTCACTAAATGATTCTGAGCACCTACCAAGTGCCAGGCCAGTCCCTGGGGCTGGGCACACAGCAGAGGACAAGGCAGGCGAGACCCCCACTCTCAGGGCTTTTAAATTCTAGTGGGGATGGCAGACAATAATCTGCAAACAGCAAAATGAACAAAATAATTGCATAAAGTGATAAATGCTGCGATTAAAATAGAGCAGGACTGGAAGGCCGGTGTGATTCCCCTACCTGTACCTGGCACATAGTAGGCACTCAGTAAATATTTGCTCAATGATTCAATGTGCTGGGCAGTCAGGCAAGACTCACAGATGCCACCCTGCATGGAAAGCTGGAAACAGACACAGGAAAAGGACGGTCTCGGGGCAGAGTGCCAGGCCCCGGAACCTCAAATGGGAAGGCCCTGAGACTGGACTCAACTTAGCATTAGAGAAACTGAAAGAAAAATCGGGGACAGCATGGATATCTCAAGCCTCCGTAAACTTCAAAGGGCTGTCTACACACGCGGGAAGGGTCTTCATCGGATATAATTTACTCCTGAAGACCTCCATCCGAGTGGCCGTCGGCCCTCCACTCGCGGCCCGGGCCCTGGGAGCCGCTCCTGCAGACTGGCCCCCGCCAGCGCCCCTCCCGCGCCCTGATCGCGCCGCTCCTGGAGGCCCTGTACCCACAAACCGGCTTTCGCGCCGGGCGGGCCGTCACTTCCTGATGCCGGCTCCCTGTCGCGGGCTGGCGGCCGGGCGAGCCAGGTCGGGACACGCAGCTCGCAGCGCAGCCCGGAAGGCCCCGCTCCGCACGCACGTCCGCCGGTGGCCGGGCCGGGGCCTCGGGGCGGCTGCGCGGGCGGCGGGCGGCCGGAGGGAGGGAGGGGCCGAGACTTCGCCGCCGCCGCCACCGCCGCTCCGCCTGCAGGTAAGGGACCGCGTCCCGCCGGCCACTCCCCGCGCCTGCCGCCGGCCCCACGCGGGGGCTCCCGGCGCCCGGCCCCGCCGCCCTGGGACCCCCGCCCTCCGGCCGTGGTGGGCGCCAGGCCCTCCCCTGGCCAAGGCTGCCCGGTTGTTGCTTGTTTTCTTTCTGAGCCGGAAGTGCCCTCGGAAACCACGTAGGGCCGCCCGTGGGGAAACTGAGGCCCGGCGGAGTGCTCAGGCGTCCCCTCCTCCCGGCTCGGGATCCGCGCCCTTAGAGGTCACCCAGCGCTCCCTTGATAAGTGAGGACGCTGGTCTGGGCCACGGGGAGGGAAAGGGACATGCCCAAGGTCACTTGGGGCCCCGGGGCTTCCCCTTGTCCCATGGGGCCCCTCTCGTGCCCCCTTGCCCCCTCTCATCTCGCCCCTCCAGCCCTCTGAGCTCACAGCAGAAGCTCAAACTGAGACTTCCAAGGGGGCTGGGAATTCCCTGTGGGCCCCCAAAGTTACAGGCTGGCCCTACGTCTCAGCTCGCCACCTGTTGTTACAGGAGGGAAGAAAAATTACTACTAACTTTGGAATGGGTTTTACAGCTGGGTAAACTGAGGCTCAGATAGATGAGGGGATTTCCCCAAGACCAGGAAGCTTGTGTGGGGAGCTGGGCCTTCTGGGCTGGCGGGCCGCCTGTCCAGACCTGGTTCGCCTGCAGTCACGGGGCGACAGGGGTGCCGGCATCAAGAAGGCATAAGAACCTGGGTTACCCGACTCCAGACCCAACCCGGTGCCTAGCACGCAGTAGGCCTTGACAGCGTCCTTTTTCTGCCCTGCCCTGGGGTCGCACAGGAAGTTGGGAGCACAGCCCAGCTAGGGTCCTAGCCCGGAGACTTCAGCCAGACGCAAGGGAGGAGTCGACAGTCTAGTTCTCTTTTCCCTAACTCAGTGTTCATTTCACTGCAGAAAACATGAAACCCCTTTAAGCTTTGGGGGTGGCCATTCATTCATTCAACAAATAGTTATTGAGCACCTACTGTGTGCCAGTGTGTGCACTGTTTAGGCACTGAGGGTACAGCAGTGAACAAGATAAGTACTGCCCTCAGGGTGAGGGGTACACTCTAGAGAGTGGAATTAAACGCTGCCCTTCCGTCTTAGAGGGGAAGGGCTGGGTGGGGGGAGAGACCATTGGAACCTCCGAAGCGTGAAGGATGTGAAGAGGGCAGAGACACGGAACCTCACAGTCCCAAGCCTTTGGAGCCTTCAGCCCTCGTGGGCCTTGTTCCAGATGTTCTGCCACCCTGAGTGTCCCCCCCAGCTCCCCAGGGATTTGAGGCAGAGGGGCTAGGTGGGTAGAGAGTGGTCCAAAAGAAGCCCTTAAAGGAACCTCGGAGCCTGGAAACCTGGCGCTGCCACTTCCTCACTGTGTGATTTTGGGTATGTCACTTCACCTCTCTGGGCCTGTGTTCTTATCATGCAGTGGGGGTCATAATACTTCATAGCTTTGATGATACTGTGTCAAAGAGCTTCATAAATGGTAAAGCGTGATCCAGAGTGTGGCCTGTGTCAGAGGCCTTGCCCAGTCAGGCATAAGCAAGGGTGTATTTATTTAGAGCGTATTTATTGCGAGGCTCCAGTGACCCTGTTGATAACCTGTTACTGCTCTCAGTAAAGAAATGTATGAGGCGGAGGTGGGTGGCTGAGTTCCAGGTGAGGAGGCTGAGGTCCCTGCCCATGGACCTCTCGTCATGGTTGTGACGTGAATGCTCGTGGCATGGTCAGCATCTCCGCTTTACCACCCTTCTAGTCACATGCCCAGCAGACAGATGTGGGCTCAGGTCCTAGCCTGCGCCTTCCTGACTGAGTCATCTGGGACAAGCTACGTGACCTCTCTGGGCCTGTTTTCTCCTCTGTAAAATACCTATCTCCGAGATTGTCATAAGGATGACAGGAGCTGAAGCCACCAAGGGCCCCATGCCGCGCCCGCCACTCCAGGAGCCTTTTTACGTTTTAGGCCTAGGGCCCAGGAGCGGTTGGATGGGCACAGTTGACTGAGCAGGTTGCCATGCTTCAGCACGGGAACCTCATCACGGTCGGAGCCTGGAGAATTTCTCAGGAGCCTGGAACCACCTCTCCCTGCATCGCTACCACCAGGCTGCAGTGGCTGGAAGGGCCACCTGGGCCCACATGTGTGGGAGCTGGGAAATGTCATTAGATGGTTTATCATCATGTCCTTATGGCTTGAACACCGCTTTGTAAATACTGCAGCATGTTATAAACTGGGGCTAGCGCGGAGATGGGGCCTTGCTGCCTTGAGTGTGTTGCAGAGGGCAGAAGAGTGCTGGAGGGGGATCCAGTCTGCTCTCTACTTGTCAGCTAGACTGATCCAATTGTACCACCCTCTGCTTAAAAGCCTGCTGTGGCTTCACATTTTCTCAGGGTAAAGAACGAAAATCTTAACTTGGACCATAAGGCCTTGCACAGCCTGGGCCCACCCACGCCTGGCCTACTCCTCCAGCTGCATCTCAGACCACTTTATCAATAGCCCTCTGTGCTCGAGGCACACTGCTCCCTCCCTCCTCGGGGCCTTTGCACGTGCTGTTCTAGACCGATCCTCCTCCCTTATCTCCCTTTTCCAAGATTAACACCTCCTCATGCTTCAGCTCTGAGCCCGACCTAGACTTGCATTCCAAGTACCCCGGGCCACCAGACATCCCAAGGTATGTGGGAGGTTTAGCTCAGGGTGACATTAGATGCTCATCGCTGGGATTAATTTCCGCCTGTACCCTGTTCACCACCCCGACTGCCTGTACAACTGTCATCCCCCATGACTTCCAGGACTGGTCTGCATTTGCTTAGAGATGCTCAGTAATGAGTTCCACCGTTGGGAGTCGCTCTTGAGCAAACATGGGACCTCGCTTTATATAAAACTATAATGCCCTTCATCAAAAAAAATATGCTGAAGTCATTTCTTAGTTGTGGGGGTAGGTGTTCATTCATTCATTCTTTCACCTACTCTGCCAGGCACTGTTCTAGGTTAGAGAATATGACACAAAAGCCACTGCCCGCGTGGAGCTTTCACCACAAACAAATAAACCTGTAACCCATTGTCAGGTGGTGGCAAATTCGATAAATAAAAGACACTCAGGGGCTGGTGGGAGCGGGGGGTGGTGGCGCCTGCTGTTTTCGACCTAAATGAGGAAGTGAGGGAGCTCTGCTGGGCAGGCAGGGGAAGCGCTGATGTCCTGAGCATCGTCCACTCCCCCACTGACCCTCCTAGTCGGGGAGACAGGTGCACAGCAACCAGCCCTTATTCCCGAAAGGAGGCGGGGCAGCCCAGACGAAGCGTGGGGGGCTTCAGAGGTGGCAGGTGTCGCTCTAGCTGGACAGATCCAGGAAAGCTCATGGGAGTCCCTGAGCCCCTGTAGAAAAGTGGAGAAGAACTTGGGTTTGAAGTCACACAGGCCTGGGGGGTACGTCCTCGTATTGCCATTGGCCGGCTCTGCGGCCTTCACCTCTGCAAGCCTCGATTTTCTCATCTGTCAGATGGGGACAGTGGGTCTCTTCCTCATAAGGTTGTCGTGAGGCTGAAATGGGAAATCTTCACTGATGGTGCTAGTCAACTGTCCCTTTGAAAAAGGGCACCGTCAGAGCGTGAGGACCCACGCTGAGAAAAAACAGTGTGGGCCGAGGCCCGAGGTGGGAAACCCAGCGTGGGCTGGAAGGAGCGGAGGGTTCATTTTGGCTGAGGATTGGCTGGAAGAAGGGGAGCGAAGGAAAATGGATAGAAAGGCAGGTTAGGCGCATCCCAGAGGTGCTTGGGGCTGACTGAAAAGTGGAGTGTTAGCCCGTGGGCAGATGGCAGCTGGTAAGATTCTTCTAATTTGGTGGTTTTCAAATTGCGTTTGTAATCTTTTTGGCCACCTCAGGGTATAAACTAGACCAAAGAGAAGCAGTGCACACCATAGTTAAGATGGCTGCCTTTGGGCTAAGACCCAGGCACCTGTTTAAATCCCACGTCGCTTGTCCAGTGACCTTGACCTTCGCTTCTCAGGGCCTCTCTGTCTCCATCTGTAAAATGGAGCTAATAGCACCTGCCTTGTAGGATTCTTGGGAGGAAACGAGATGATGCGTGGAAAGAGGTGGCACATGGCTAACATTTGCCAAGCATTTACTGTTATGATTTTTTTAATTTAAAAAATTTGAATTGTGGGGCCAGCCCAGTGGCATAGTGGTTAAGTTCATGTGCTCAGCTTCAGCGACCTGGGGTTCACAGATTCGGATCCCACACGCAGACCTATGCACCACTCATCAAGCCATGCTGCGGCGGCATCCCACATATAAAGTAGAGGAAGATTGCCATGGATGTTAGCTCAGGGGCAATCTTCCTCACCAAAAAAAAAAAGAAATTATTGTGATAAAATACATAAAATTTACCATCTTAACCATCTTTAAGTGTACAGTTCAAAAGTGTTAGGTATATTCACATTCTTGTGCAACCAATCTCCAGACCTTTTCAATCTGCAAAGCTGAAACCCCATACCCTTTAAATACATGCTCCCTATTCCCCCTCCCTCCAGCCCCTGGTAACCACCATCCTACTTTCTGTCTCTGTGGTTTTGACTACTCTGAATACCTCATATAAATGGAACCATACAGTATTTGTCTTTTTGTGACTGGCTGGTTTCACTTAGTATGTCCTCAAGGTTCATCCATGTTGTAATGCATCAGAATTTCCTTCCTTTTTAAGGCTGAGTAATATTCCCTTGCCTGTATAGACCACATTTTGTTGATCTGTTCATTCATGGATGGACACCTGGGTTGCTTCCACCTTTGAGCTATTGTGAATAATACTGCTATGATCATGGGTGTACAAATATCTTTGTGAGACCCTGCTTTCGATTCTTTGTGTTTACCCAGAAGTAGTATGGTGGATCATTCTGTTATAATTTGAAGCTGGGGCATTAAGGGCTTCCCGCTGTGTCTCCTCTTGCCCACCAGAGCAAGAGAGGGCCCTAGGGTCCTGTGGAGCAGTTTGAGAACCAGTGGATCAAATGAACCATGGCTGTCTTTGCCGTTTCCCCCGCTTCCTTCCCAGGCGGATTTGCCTCTTGAATTTCTTTTTCCTAAAGATTGGCACCTGAGCTAACCACTGTTGCAAATCTTTTTTTTTCCTGCTACTTTTTTCTCCCCAAATCCCCCCAGTACATAGCTGCATATTTCACTTGTGGGTCCCTCTAGTTGTGGCATGTGGGACGCCACCTCAACATGGCCTGATGAGCGGTGCCATGTCTGCGCACAGGATCTCAACTGGTGAAACCCTGGGCCGCCAAAGCGGAGCACGTGAACTTAACCACTCGGCCACCAAGCCGGCCCCTTGAATTATTTTTTAATCATCCCACATGGAAAACACCATTCATTCAACCAATGTTTTTAAGTGCCTACTAGACTTCCACGTGGACAGAGGGAGATAGACAATAAGCAATCAGTACAAACAAGTAAGTGATACAGTATGTCTCACAGCGACGTGCTCTGGACCAAACAGAGGAGCCAGGTGAAGGGATTGGGATGAGAGGCTGGGGGCAGGGTGGCTTCACTGAGCTGTGAGATTTGAGCCAAGACCAGAAGGAGGTGAGGGAGTTGGCCGTGTGGTTATCTGGGGGAAGAGCATTCCAGCAGAGGGAACAGCCAATGTAAAGGCCTTGAGGGGGAAGCATGCGTGGTGGGGTCCAGGAGCAGCAAGGAAGATGGTGTGTCTGGAGCAGAATGAGCAAAGGGGAGAGGGGGAGGGCAGATTGCATATGGCCCAGTCGGCATTGTAAGGACCGTAACAGCGTGTGACCAGGGAGTCGGAGGTTTGGAGCAGAGAAGGGACACGATCTGGCTTCAGTTTGGGATGGAGCTCTTTGGATGCTGTGTGGTTGACAGCGAGGGGCGAGGGCAGAAAGACGCAGGAGTCTGGTGAGGAGGCTGCTGTTGGGTTGCACCTGCGAGATGACAGCAGCTTGGACCAGGTGCGAGTAGGGGAGGAATGGAGCAACCATAAATGTGGACAAAAGGTCCCAGAGCCTGGGTATCCCCACCCCCAATGCCACGCTCTCACCCCACCGCACCCCGCCCTCCTCCGGGCTACTGAGGTGAGGTTGGAATGGGAACTTTCCCTCCAAGCCAGCATCCCTTTTTCCTTCTGGTCTGTAGCGGGATTGTCCAAAACCCTCCGGGTTCTTCTCTGTTGACACTGTTGCCATGGAGACCTCCTGAGATGCTGCATTTACCACTGGCTTCCAATTTAACTTCCAGGTAGAGGTGTAGAATGGATGGGTTTCTCCTGAAATGCTGGAGAGGGGCAGTGAACTGGGCCTGCCTAGAACCCTCTCTTCTAGGACCATCTGAAGAGGTCTTATTATGTGCGTGTGTTTTAACTTTGAACTACAATCTTCAGAGTTTCCGGGCTAAGAACAGGGCTGTAGCTCTGTTTGTTGTGAAGGATTTCTTCAGCCGGATGCTCTTCCTTCTCCTTCGCTCCGGAGCAGTTAGTCCTCAGCCTTCCCATGACACCGTAGCTGTCTCTCTAGTAATGCTCATTTTACTGTACTGCGCTCATGTAGAAATTCAGCTGTGAGCAGTTAACTCAGAAAAAGAGGAAGAGAAAGGGAAAGAGAACACAGTCCACCACGCACTCGCGTGCACAGCAAATTTGACCTTGGCCTTTGCTGACTGCTCCAAGTGAAAAAAAGGCCACAGCTGCCTGGCATGTAAAAAAAAAGTCCACTGTTGCATGTGACATTCTAAAGGCCCAGGTCATGGAGTTTTAAGGGTGATTTAAAGGATTTTCAAGGATGGTATTGACCCTATTAGATTTTCTCCTCGGTGCTGACCCTGGAATTTTTCATCTCCCCAAGAAGAAGTCCCACTGTGTGTTTATGGCCTTAGTCAGCAATATTGACCAAGCACCTACTGAGTGTGCTTGTAGAACTGAGAACAGATGTTTGTGGAATGCCCATCTGCCCCTACTACTGACACAAATAACTCAGCCAGTGTTTTCTTTGGTGACAGATAATGTGATCGGTTAGACGAAAATCATAATTGCAGAGCATCAAAATGAAGTCCCACCCAGAGTGACTCCTGTTCATCCCAGATCTGGGCTTTGCGGTCTGGCCACGGGCAAGTGTTTGCGCTAGTTGTTCTCACTGTGTACACGTTGTTTCCCTGAGAGTCGGGGCTCTCCTGGGTCGAGTGTGGACCTTTCTCCGAGTTCCTTGGTGTGTTCACAGCCCCTGTGCAGGGACAAGACCCCTAGGAGACCCCTGGGAGTGGGAGGCTACTCGGTCCATCAGTGACCTCCTGAGCCCAGGGTGCTGCTGGACCAGCTCTGTGCACATTAGGTGCCCCAGGGCACAGAGACACCCGGCCCTGACCGGCAGGGTCTTTTTCTCGCTGCACGAATCTGGTACTCTTGGAATGAGTCTAGCTTCTCAGACACGCTTGAGAATCTCAGTTCAACTTTAGACTGGATCCTAATCCTTCATCAGACCAAGGGGTAGAGGCCCCTGAGGAGTGGTATACACAGCTCAGGTGGCACATGCCCCCCACCCCACAGTTGCCACCACACTTCCTCAGCTGGCGTAGTTTGGGGCCCAGCCCGTCCGACTGGACAATCCATAGAGTTGGAACCGTGGACTCCTCCATCCCGCCATGATGGCTAGCTGAGAATTGTCTGTCACACCACCCCTTGTCCATTTTGTTGATTACAAGTCCCGTTGGTCAAAGGAATGAGACTTAACTGTGACCTCAGCCCCACTGGCTTGGCTGGGCCCTATGGGGCCAGGGTTTTCTGCGACAAAGTACTCCTCTGCTGGGTATCAAGAGCAGAACTGGTTTTTATTAAAAAAATTTTTTTCATTATAAAAGCCCCAATAAGCTCATGACAGAAAATGCTAAAGTTTCAGAAAAATAGAAGAACAAAAACCAATTGCTTCTAGTCCCGCAGCCCCACCACCGAAAGACAATGATCACTGACATTTTGATGTATTTCCTGGTGATCTTTTTGCTCTGTGAAACATTTTCTTAGGACATAACAAGTTGTAGTGTGTTTCCAGTGCTATGCTGTTACCCACCTTTCTGGAAAATAAAACCCCTCATTTGTGGCACTTGCCAATTTCTGTGGTATTCAGACTCCCACTGGGGCCAATTGCAGGCTCTCGGCGTCACTGAACACAGAGTTGGGAAGAGATGCCGCTATGAGCCAGCATCAGCATACCGTATTATAATTTAAAATCGTGTCTGTTTTTCCTGATCTTAAAATCAGTACATGGTCATTATTGAAAATTAATACAACATAAACATATAATGAAAAAAATTAAAATCATCCCAGAATCCACCCTCACCCCACCCTCCGCTTAGAGACAGCCACTGTCACCATCCTCCTTAAAGTCCTAATGGTCCCCTCTCTACAGACAGAGACATTAACAAAATAACCCTCTTCAGAGTTCAAAAGCAATACGTATTTATGGCAGAAAATTGGGGAAATCTAGAAAAGTCTCTGGTATTACACCTTTCAGAAAGAATTTTGGAGGCCCTTCTTGTAGCCATTTTTCTTCTCTGCAGCTTTTGGCCATGGCTGGACTATGGCATGAGTCTCCGAGTTTGTAGGCAGATTCTATGCGTGTTCTCATGCCCCGTAGGAAGGTGACATCCAGGGGAAGGGCATTATCACTGATAATTTATTTAAAACCCCACGCAGGCTTCAAGAAGCAGAAAATATTGTAGTTCCTTGGCGTGGAAAATGGCCATTAGGATGACGCTCAGATTATTTGAAGTTTGGGGGGACCCTGGGTTTGGGGCTCTGTATAGCCCTGGGTAAGTCCAGACACGTGGCCCTGGTTCCATCTCCCTTCCTCATCTGATGCTCGATGGGACTGTAAGAATAGGAGTGCCTTTAGGGAGAGGAATAACCAGGAGCATCCAGCTCTTGCTTAAGCCTAAAAACTAGTTCTCTCATTCGTTCACGTAACAGGCATTTCTGAGCATTCTGTGGCAGTACGTGGTTGGGCACCAGGAGACAGGAATGGAGGACATCCGGGGCCTGCCCTCCACTGCCAGGCTCAGCAAGGAGCTGGCGCAGCAGCCACAGCTCCGGGCACGCGGAGTTGGCACAGACAGTCCACACCAAGAGCCAGGGCCGTGCTGGGTGCGTGGCAGCTGCCTGCCGCCTGCTGAGAAGGTGCAGGTGGAGGAGGCGGTGGGACAGAAGCCCCCTGAGCCTCGGCTAGCTAACCGGCTAACCGATCCGTCTCTTCCGCAGACCTCCAGATCCCACACCGGATGGACCCACAGGCTGGTTTTTCCAGTTTGCTCCCCAGGGCAATTTGCATATTTCTCAAGAAGCTGAACGGCCTGTTTTCAGACTTAGAGAGAGGGCAGGCCCACAGCTGTTTCTTGAAATCTGGGTAAGTATTATTTCTGGGTTCTTTTTCTTCAGAACCCTCGTCATTGTTTAAAATTGTCCTATTTCAAATATGAGTTGATATGGTGTCCGTCTCCCTTCACTGGAACATATCTCCGTGATGGAGGGTCGTTGTCTGTCTAGTCACTGCTGTGTCCCCAGCATGTAGGACGGCATGTACATAGGTGCCAATACGTGTTTATTAACTAACTGGTTAATTTAAGGTGAGGTGAATATTTCTTTTTAATTTACTTAGACCTTAAGAAAAAGTCTTTAAGATTCTGTAGAGACATCCCGCTGCTTTTTTTTTTAACTTTTTATTTTAAAATAATTATAGATTTACAGGCCATTGCAAAATAGTACCAAAAGCGTGGTCGTTGCCTTTGCAATGAAGTCTGACTCCTGAGCTGGAGGAACTTAGTCCTGCCCCTGGCGTGCCCCGGGCAGCTTCCCCTCCACCCTCCCTCCTTCCCTCCCACCCCTCCACGCCTGCCCTTGTCCAAGCCCTGGCTACACTGAGCACCTTCTTGGTTCTTCAAAAGCATCGTCTCTCTTCTCCCTCGGTCTTGACACAGGCTGTCTCCTCTGCCCAGGACACGCTCTTCCTGCTCACTCACCTCTGTCTGATGTCGCCTTCTCCAGGAAGCCCATTCTGGGTTCCAGCCCCCTCCTTGTATCCTTCTATGTGCGTTTCCCGAGTCACAGCATTTATCCTGCTGGGCTGTCCTGGTCTGTTTGCTTGTCTGTCTCTACCGCTGTCTTGATTCTTCTGCTGGAATAGCCTGTCCCATCTGTGCGCGGGGCTGTCACCCTTACTTCCTGCAGGCGTCCGCTGGAATGGCACCTGTCACCTGCATGCTGTAGTCACCCTCCTACCCCATCACCTCGCATCCCCTCACCTGATTGTTCTTCCCGATCAGCACTTCCTGACCAAAGGTTTACCTGTTTATTTAGTGGACTGTGAAGCGCATGGATCCTACAACCCGATCGCCTGAGGGCGAATCTTGGTACCACCACTTACTAGCTATGTCATATTGGACGAGTTACTTAAGTTATTATTATCATTTTATACCATCATATTATCCCACCAAAATGTAAGCCCCTCGAGAACAGGGAATTTGCCAGTTTTTCCCCCTGAGCTTCCCCAAGACCCAGAATAGGGCACCACACATCACGTACCCATCTTCATTCATCCAGCAAGTAGTTACTGAATGCCGACAATACTCCAGGGTGCTCGGAAAGCGAGGGGTACCAGGGCCCTGCCTCGAGAAGCTTATATCCTATTAGTATACAGAAGTAAACAGATAACTTAAAGATATATCATTTAAGATAAGAATAAGTATTATAAAAATAGAACAGGCTGCTGGGATAGAGGGGTAGAAGTACTTTAGCCTGGGGGGGGGGTGCAATCAGGGAAGGCCTCTTAGAGGAGGTGACATTCAGGCTGGGGCCAGAACAATGGGAAGGTCAAGGGAAGAGTGTCCCAGGCAGGGAAATGGCAGGTGCAAAGGCCCAGAGGAGGGCCCAGCTTGTGCATTTGAAAGCAGAAAGCCAGCCACTGTGGCTGTAGCGTGGTGAACAAGTTGGGCCTGGGGGCATGAGATGGAGCTTAGAGGCCAGGAGGAGCGGCATCACAGGGCCGTATAGGCCATCGGAAGAGGACTGATGCTCATCCTGGAAAGCCTTCGGAGGGTATTAAGCAGGCAAGTGACGTGACTGGTATATATGACGAAAAGGCCGCTCTGGCTGCTGTGTAGAGAATGGATTATAGGGCATCAAGAGTGTATTTTGTTGAATGAATGAGTGAATTTGGCCTGAGCTGAGCTTTTCGTGTGCTAAGCACATCGCTCTCCCCCGTGGTAGAGGCAGGCCAGCTCATGTGTCTCTGATGAGCAGGCTGTTTCTTCTTGAACTAGGAACTAACGTGGGGCTTCCCAGATACCAGCCCAATGAAGTACCGTCTTGAGCGCCTCTGGGTAATAGGTGCAGTTGCCACAGCCTCGAAATGGCATATGGAGTTGACTAAACGTAGTGGAAATTGCTAAACCTGCTGACATCATGGCTGCGTGCTGCACCTGGTGCTGTCCTCGGTTCGTGGCTTGTTGCTGTCCGTTTTGTCCACCACTGTGGTCTGGGCTGATACTCTGAGCCAGAGAAATCTGCTACAAATCTCAAACTTGGGTTCCTGGACCAACCGTTGGAGGCCAGTCTTGCTGGGTGATGTTGGTCAAGATCTTAACCTCTCTGGGCCTCAATTTCTCCATCTGAAACAGGCTAAGGAGGATCCCTGTGCTAACATAGAGGAAAAAGCATGGGATTTGGAGCCAAAACTCTGGTTTGTGTAAAGTGCTGTGTAACTTTGAGAAAATCACTTGGCCTCTCTGAGCCTGTTCCTCAGTTATAGGAGGGAATCATGGTGGCTCACATCCTGCTTAACGTTACTTGGTAGTTGTGAGAATTAGATGGATTGGAAAGTGCTTTGTGAACTGTTATGAGCTATACAGGTGTTGTTTTTTTACTTTTAACTACCCTAGGGTTATTTTGAAAAGATGCTGAAACGTTAGCTCTGGACAGACTTTTAAACAACTCCTCCCTAGAAATAATATTTTGAGAACAAAAATTTTTCTTGCTCAGCTGAATGAGAACAAATTTATGGACCAAAATCAGTGCAGAGTGTGGGCATTAGACTAGAAACCTCCGGATGATATGACGAATGTTTAAAACGAGGTGGCCAAGAGCTCCGGCTTCGGGCTCTGCTCTGCCTTTCACTGGCTGTGTGACCCGGGCCCAGTTGCTTCTCCTCTGAGCCTGTTTCCTCCTTTGCAAACTGGACATGGAAACCCCTGGCTCGCGGAGTTGGCTGAGACCGTGCATGTTAACACTGCAGCCCCAGGGCCTGGCACTCAGCCACGGCTCCGTAAGGCTGGCCCGTACTGTTATTGATAACCGGCACTGTGCTGAGCGTTTCATTTCTTTGTTTGTTATTTTATGCATTATTTCTTTAAGAAGCATTTATGTTGCATGAGCCCTGATCCAGGCGCTATTCTAAGTGCTTTGAAAATACTAACCCGCGTGGCTCTTTACAGCTAACACAGCTCTTGCAGGCAGATACTGTTAGAGTCCCATTTGCAGGGGAAGGAATCTAAGGACAGAGAGGTCGTGTTGCCCGAGGCCCCGTATTTATTAGACGGAGGTGTTTGGATTCCCACCTAGGTCTCTCTGGTCCGGAGCCTGCATTCGCATCCCTAATGCCCTGTGGTCAAGGCTGCTGCCCTTCTGGATACCTGCTCCCAGAGCCCTTCCCGCCCCTCGGATGCCTGGCTTGGCTTGGTTTGTCCCCTCCCCTCCCTTCCTCACTTCCTCTCCTGCCCCTGGGAAGGAAGGAAAGAACAAAGTGAGGGGGAGCGGGAGGGGAAGGACACCTCCCTCCCTGCCTCCCTCCTTCTCTCTTTCCTTCCTTTCATTGAAGTACAACATACATAGAGTGCACAAGTCTTAAGTATACAGCTCAGTGAATTTTTACATATATTTATACCCATGTAGTCACTACCGGGTCAAGATACAGAACGTTTCCACCCCCCGAAGGCTCCCTATGCCCCTTCTGAGCCAATACGCACTCCCTCCCACGGGCAACCTCTCTGCTAACTTCTGTCACTTTAGATTGGTTTGACCCATTCTTCAGGTTCATATGAACAAATCTTACAGTATGTACTCTCTCGTGAGTGGCTGTCTGCTCATCATTCTGTCTTTGAGATTCACCCATGCTGTTGTGGTTAGCTGGACTTTGTTCTGTTTCATTGCCCTGTAATATTCCACGGTATGGATATGACTCAGTTTATCCATTCTGCTGTGGGTGCTCGTGTGGGTCGTTTCCAGTTTGGGACTATGATGAACGAAGCTTCTACAAATGTGCATGTACGTGCCTTTTGGTGGCCATACGCCCTCGTATCTCAGGAGTGAAATTGCTGGGGCATAGAGAAGAGGTATGTTTAGCTTTAGCGGAGAATGTCAAACCACTTTCCAAATGTTTGTACCAATTCACACTCCCGCCAGCAGTGTGTGAAAGTCCTCTTTGCTCCTTGTTCTCGTCAGCACTTGGTATTGTCGGTCTTTTTAGTTTTAGCCATTCTGATAGGTGGATGGCACTATCTCATTGGGGTTTTAATTTCCATTTCTCTGATGACTAATTTACGCTCCCACCGGTAGTGAATGGAGGTTCTCTTTGTCCCTTATCCTCATCAACACTTGGTATTGTCAGTCTTTTAATTTTAGCCCTTCTGATGGGTGGGTAGCAGTGTCTCATTGGGGTTGTAATTTCTATTTCTCTGATGGCTAATGATGTTGAACACCTTTGCACATGCTCATTGACCATTGAATATCTTTTATCAAGTACCTGTTCAAGTCTTTTGCCGTTTTTTAATTTGCTTCATTTCTTTTGCTTGATGACTTATAGCTAAGAGTTGTTTATACACTATGGATACAAATCCCTTGTTGACATACGTATTGAAAATATCTGCCCCCAGTCCTGGGTGTGTGCTTTCACTCTATTAAAGGTGATGTATAGAAGCTCTTCATGTTAATGAAGGCTAATTTGTGAAGCTTTGCTTTTGTGATTGGTAACGTCCGTGTGCTATTTAAGTAACCTTTGCCTGTGCCCTGGATGCATTTATCACCGGCATTTTTCCTGCAGGGCTGGACATGGCCTCATGGGGCAGATCGCGCTGCAGGCTGCCTCAGGGGGCCGAGCCAGCTGTGGAGGGGGAGCCACATCTGCCCACGGGCCGGGACCTGACCGAGGCCAACCGCTTCGCCTATGCCGCCCTGGGCGGCGTCTCTCTGTCCCAGCTGTTTCCAGAACCTGAGCAAAGGTGAGTGCTTTTGTCTCGGGGGGAAGGCCGTGCTTCTTCAGGGAGGCGATTCCTGACAGCCCAGCAGCCTGCCGGGTGCTAATGGCGACTCCAAAGGAGAGAAAGTGAGTGTCCCTGCCTTTAAGGAGGGACACGACCCAGTAATAGGATAGGAACCCTCGTTCAGCGTGGCATATGAACGACATCCCTCGTTTATACCCGCACCAAGCACTTTCTGAGCACCTGCTGTCGTCCAGGCCCCATCTGAAGTCCATGGAAGCTACACGTGAACGAGATGAGCAAGGCAGACGCCATCCCTGCCCTCAGGCAGGACACAGTCTAACAGGAGGATGAGATATTTAGGCATTCATGCAACATGCCTTCGTTGAGCACCCACTGTGCGCTGGGTCTGGGCCCTGCGGAGAAAACAAAAAAAAGCCCTGGCTCCTGCCCTCCTAGTACTTACAATCTAGGGTGTGCCCAGAGGACTGATTTTAGTAGTGGACAGATGGGGTCAGTGCCATGACGGGTATCATGGGAGCAAAGGAGTGACAAGTTTAATGACGGCGTTAACATCTGTCCTTGCCGATATCTAGCATGTGCGTGTCAGTAGTACATTTGGAGTCTGAATAGCAGGGTCGTTGAGAGCTTGGCCTTCAAGGATTCTGTGGGGAGAGAGTTTAGAGGCAGGAAGAGGCCACTTAGGAGGCTGATGAAGTCGTCCAGGGAACGCAGGACAGTGACCGAGAGGTGGAGTGGGCACAGGGGAGACCGACTTTCCTGGGGGAGAATGGAGTCCCTGTGGGGACAGGCTGGATGTGGTGGGCAGGGCAGAGGGGGGAGCTGACTTTGCCCCCAAAGGTCAAGGCGGGGAGGGGGGCCTGGGAGCGCAGAGATATTGTTACTGAGATGAGGAGAAACAGGTCGGGGCAGGAGATGACAAGTTTTTGCAGCTGCAATGTTTTCAAGACCCCCCTGGGGTCCCCCATGAGTAAACTTGCCCGTGACTTGGGTCCTAGCTGGGATATTTTGTTTGTTTTGGTTTTTGTCTTTGTTTTTCCCACTGGACCAAACACTTGAGCTTACTCCTCTCCTCGGGGGTCCCCCCCCAGAAGCCTCCCTGACTCTCGGCACCCGCAGCCCAGGGTGTTTCTGCACCTGTGTGCCCATCGCATTCCGCTGGGACTCTGCCCACATCCGCCCTGCCTGCCATTGGGGCTCCTGAGGGCAGGGGTGACCCCGTTCCCCTCTGAGTCCCCAGTGCCTTGTGCACAGCTTGGCGTAGCAAAGATGCTCAGCAAAGCTTCATGAGAAGAAGGGATGGATAAATTCTGTCACAGGAGACATTCCATGGGCTTTCGACTCTGGGTTCAAATCCTCCCTCTGCCACTTTCCAGCTGCGTATACCCTGAGGCAGCTTATTTAACTTCCCTAAGCATCAGTCTCTTCATCTGTGGAATGGGACTAATGATACCTACCCTCAGGGTGATTCCAAGAATTAAATGAGATAACATAGATAAAGCACACAGCACAGTGCCTGGCACATAGTAGGTGCTTAGTAAATGGTAGTGGTTGCTTGCTAACTCTGGGAACTTATTTTATTTGCCTCAGTTTCCTCCTCAAATGGAGACAATACTGGAACTTACCCCTACAGGCAGGGTATTTTGGGCTGCAAATACAGGACACTATACTAAAAGAGATTTAAGCTGCAGGAGATTTGTTTTTCTCACTTAAAAAGAAATCCGAAGGTAGATAGTTCCAGGGTTGGTTCCGTGCCTCAAAAGGCCTTTGGGCTGGCTTCTCTGCAGTTCTCTTGGCCTTCCCCTCCTGGTCACAAAATGGCTACTGCAGCTCCATACATCACACCCTCACAAAACAAGCCCTAAGGCAGGGATTCTCTTCAAGTCTTTCATCAGGGAGGAGATCTTCCCTGGAATACCCTAAGAAGGCTTCCCCTTTTGTGTCATTGGCTAGATCCAGTCACATCCCCAAGCCTCACCTGCAAGGGAGGCTGTGAAAAACTAAAGGCATGCACCATTTTCAACCACCACCATGGGAGGGGGGTTCTGGCCAGGAACAAGGGGCTGGGGAATTACTGCTGCAGAGAAACAGCATCCGTCAGAGAGGGCGGTGTGAGGAGGGAGCGTGTTGATGGCCCCTCATAGCTTGCAAAGATACTGCCAGACAAATGTTGGATGTTCTCATTATTAATAGTGAAACCACCCACTTTATCTAGAGGTTAGAAAATATTTCATTGGATGTTCTGTTCCCAAGCGAGCCAGCATCCCGTCTCCTGCAAGGGTCGGGCTCTCTCCCTGCTCTGGCCCGAACCTGTGCTGTGTCTGGGAAGCCTCCATCGTTCTAGAAGTTTCCCCTGACTTGACAAACCCCTACCTGATAAGCTGGTACATAGGCCAGGAAAAGCGTTGTGTACTTTGTTCACATAAACCACTATTGATGAACGTGGACTGTGTACCAGGCCTGTGCTGAGCACCCCCGGGGAGGGCCCAGAGAGGAGGCACTTCTTGTCCTGTGGCCCCATCCAGGTATCGTTCCAAGCACACCTGGCTGTCGCTAGCTGGAAGCACTTGCCTTGGGGCGTGTCCTGCCTGAGAGTTTCCGATTAGGTATGCCAACTGTTTCCACGTGGTTGAACTCAGTTTTCTTAGGCACAAAACACACTTTAAAGACGGCCTCATCTTTTTCACAGCCCAGATCCGCTGTTGGTTGCAGTAATCTTTAGAAAACACTCTGTGGCAGGTTTTCTCCACAAGGGACATAAAAGCGAGCCTTTGAAATATTTCTTTCTTATGCATGCTGTCAACATCACATATGTCGTTCCCTACGATTAACTCCATTTGTTAACCATGGAGAAATTAAGGGGGTAGAACAGGGGTGGGCAGACTTTTTCTGGTAAGGGTTGGGTATTCTAGGCTGGCGGGCCCTGTCATCTCTGTCGCAGTCACTCAGCCCTGCCCTTGTAGCCAACAATCAGCCAGAGACAGTCGGTAAGGGAGTGGGCATGACTGTGTTCCAATGAAACTTAATTTACAAAAACGGGCCACAGGCCAGGCTCGGCCCCTGGAAAGTAGGAGGGACTTTGCACTCGGAGTCAGGAACCCACAGAGTCCACCCCCACCCAGTCTCCACCGAATCCACCCCATCCCGGCGGGGAGACCTTGATACAGCATTCGATCTGTGCAGCCCGGCACTCCATCTGCGGCGGGCGGTAAGGATGAAAGGGGGTGTTCCAGGCACCTGCCGGGCCAGCGCCGGCCCATGGGGAGTGTAGTCATCTCCAGGGAGGGGCAGGGTCCGCAGGGGTTAAGCGTGGCCCCTGGGGTCAGGGTCTGAGTGTCCTTATCTCTAGAATGGGGATAAAAATAGCACCTCCCTCCCTCATGGGGTCAACAGACACAGGCCGTGTGTCGGAAGCACTTCACGCAGGGACGGAGGGATGGAGAGTGGCTCTGTGGTTGTCATTTGTTGTCAGTGTTGCTGCTGATTTTCATGCATCTCGACTAGACCATTAACTGCTTTAGAAGCGATTACCAAGGCCCAGCCGATCTAAAATGCTGTGTTATCTGATAGATTACTGTACTGCCACTTTAGTCATTCATTTGTTCATTGAAAGAAACACGTATCTAGTGCTTTATCTGTGCCAGGTATTTTTCTAAGCACATGACAAATGTTAGCTTAGTTATTCCTTTCAACAACCCCATGCAATAGGTCTCATCATTATCACCACTGTTTTACAGATAAAGCAACTGAGGCACAGAGAGGTTAAGTAACTTGTCCAAGATCACATAACTAGTGGCAGAGCTGGCATTGGAACCAGAGTTTGTGCTCTTTACCCCTCCGTTCTCGTTATGAGATGCTTCTCTCCATCCAAGACTTTCTTCCTGGACGCAGGGCCAGGCCGTGCTGTTGCCCTGAGCCCTTTCTGCATATAAGTTTTCCCCTAAGTCATGTGCAATTCACTTAATCAACTCCTGTCCCCGGGACACACCCACATGCCATCCTGAGATAACCCCAGCAATTGCAGTGGGGTAAGTTATAATAGCTGCAACGCAGTAGCTAACATTTACTGAGGAGCTAAGGTTATCAGGTGCCAGTGCTGTTACCCTATCATTTAATCTTTCCGACCAACCTTTGAGGCAAGTCCTGTTATCATCTGCATTTTACAGCAGAGGAAAATGGAGCTACGAGAAGCGAAGTAGGGGCATGAAGCCAGTCACGGAGAGAGCCAGGACACCCCCAGAGCATCAGGCATCAGAGCCCAACTCTGAACCCCATTCTCCTCTGGGTCACCTTATAAATAAAAGTAATGATGCTAGCTGACCTAAGCTGAGCATCTGCTCAGGCCCAGCCCCGCCCTGATGCTTTCTATGTATCATCTCATTTAATCCTCAAACCGCTTAATGAAATTGGTCTCTTAAACCCCTTTGCAGATAAGGAAGCTGAGGCACAGAGAGGTCAGGTTACTTTTGCAAGGTGCTCCATCGCTCAGCTCTCCCTTCAGGAGTGAAGGGCTCTCCCCAGCTGCTGAGAGGGCTGCCCACACAGCCTGGGCCTGCCTGCCTCAGCTGGAGAGAGCCACCTCGCCCCAGGTTCTGCCCCCTTTCCTGAGGTGGCCTTTGTCCAATGACTGGCCGATGTGGGGGTATAAAGGCCTGCCCTCTCGCCCACTATGGGCAGCTCTGAAGGGCCAGCCCACCTTCAGAACCCCCTGCAGGATTGGCTGAGGTTTCCGTTGAGGCTGCATCACAGCTTGACAGCTCCCCTGCCCAGGCCTGCGTCCTCCCTGCCCTCCTACAGGTGTTGATGCCAAGGGGATCCCTAATCATCTCCATTTCAGAGCTGCTTCCTTGGGACCTGGACCATGGCAGCAATGGGGCCAGGATTAGTGCCTGAGTCCTTCACCACTCCCGTCGCGGACCCCAGCCTGCAGAGGTCTCTCCACTCGGGTTTCAGCCCCAGCAGCTCTGAGGACTGGGATGGCCGGGCTGCCTGGGAGCCCTGGGGGCCAGGCCGAGTGGTGCAGGCAGGGAGCATCCTGGGATCGTCCCCACCACCAGGGAGCTCTGTTTGTTTCTGGGAGGCCTGATTCCACCCTCATGTGGTCAGAACGTGGGGTGCAGAACCCGGGGGGGGGATGCCCCAGGACAGGGCAGGTGAGGCAGGCTGGGGCACTGGTTTGGAGATAGACCTGGCTTCTAGGTCTCAGCCTTTTCTCTGGACGCGTATGATCACCTCCTGATTGACTCTCCAGCGCTCTCACTGCCACGAGTGGCAGCTGTGAATCCAAGCCTGATGTGGACTTGGCCACAGTCCCCAAAATGCTGTGTGCTTCCCGCACCTGTGTCGCAGCTCCTGGGGCGTCTTCTCCCCTGGAGTGCCCCACCCATCCCCCCACCCAGGGACTCCTGTGGGCCTCAACTCAAATGCACGCCGTGGACAGAGACCCCATGGTGGCAGTGGGCACGGTGGGAGGACAGACTCTTCGTCTGCACTTTATCCCCTTCTGTCGCAGCTGACTTTCCCAGGAAGCACGTCCTCGGGGGTTTCCAGCAGCAGCAGATCTCCTGTGGGAAGCCTTTGCTCGTCGCTGCCCGCTGCCTACGCAGGTCGATCGGGGGCTCCCTCTCTGGACTCATGGGGGCTTGACTCCTGCCTCTGTCCTAGCGTATCACGGCCCTAGGATCAGTTAGTTACGTCCCTGCCTCCACCCTGCTGTGAGCTTCTCATCAGAGGCTGCATCTTGCTCATCTTTGATCCTCCGCCTCCAGCGCAGCCCCCGGCTCAGGCTGGCCCCAGGGAGTGTGGTCGGTAGCTGCTCGTTGACCTCCTTCCTGTGGCTTATCGGCCTGTTTGGTAAAAGTTTTGGTGGCGGAGAAGCTGAAGTCGGGTGTTTGGCTCTCCCTGAACTCCGTGGCCCGCAGTCACCACGGGCTTTCTGTACGTGCCGGCTGTTCTCGTCCGTGAACGCATCTGACCTAAACCTCCCAGGGCCTTGTGAGATGCACGTTCCGGGAAGCGGTGGGCTCTGAGCCGTGTCTGTCTTTCAGCTCCTTCTGCACAGAGTTTGTGGCGGGCCTGGTGAAGTGGCTGGAGTTGTCTGAAGCCGTCTTGCCAACCATGACAGCTTTTGCCAGCGGCCTGGGAGGCGAAGGAGCAGACATGTTTGCTCAGATTTTATTGAAGGACCCCATCTTGAAGGACAACCCGTTGGTGATCATTCAGGTACACCCTCCACCCAGGGGGCAGCTGCGGGGGGAAGTAGAAGCTTATTTCCTTTCAAACTCAGTCGGAAATCACTTCCGTGGGGCAGGGTGGTTGAAAGATAAAATATTCAATGTGATAATATCAAATTATCATTATTAAATATTTACTATTGATTTAATTTATTACTTGAAGAGTGCTTATTAGATGCTAGTACCTTTACAAATATTCACTCATTTAATTCTCAAAGCAACTTTTGGAGCTAGGTAGTATGATCATCTCCATTTTAGATGAGAAAAAGTGAGGCACAGAGAGGTAAAGTAACTTGTTCCAGGTCGTGCAGCTGACAAGCGGCCGAGCCAGGCTTTGCACCTGGGCAGTCTGATTCCAGAGCCCATGCTCCTGAGCGCCAAGCTCCGGTGCCTCTTTTCGGAAGCAGAGCTTTGCTGTGTGCCCATGGGCATGTCAGTCACCTGCTCTGTGCAGTTGGAGCGGGCAGAAGCTTGACATGGGCTGTTGGTGGGTCACGTGAGCAGATTTACGACGGCCCTCCCTGTCCTTCTTGTCACTGTGGGAATTCTCACACATTGGTTTCTTTCTTTATCTGCTTGTGTGTCTGGCTCACCCTAGAATATAGGGCAGAGATATTTTGTCTGCCTTGTTCTCCCACTGAGTGAGTGTCAATAAATATTTGTCGAATGAGCAGGCTGATTCCATTTCAAATTGCTAATTCCTGTTACTTTTCCCCCAGGACCTTCTGAGCTTCTCACTCAAGGATGGTGAGTTGATTTCCTAAGTTCTGTACATTGTGGGCGCTCGTCTTCTCCTTTGGCCAGTAAAGCCAGTGATACGTGTTGCCCGCTGTGGCCGGTCCCTCATGGTCCTTTTGGTGAAGAAAGGAAATGGAACCCGGTCTAGTCGGGGAGCCGGGGAGCGCTTCCTTTGTGCTGAGTGCTGCTGGTGCTTCCTGGCTGTTGTTTCGTTTATGCCCCGTGGTTCTCCCTTCTAAGCCGCTCTGAACCTGGTCCCTTCCCGTCTCCACCCCCTACCCTGTCTGACCACTATCACCCCCTCCTGAATGACAGCAGGGTCTCCTCACTGGTTGTCCTGTGGCCCCTCTGGCCAGCAGTTTGTTCTCTTCCCTGCAACACGAATGATCTTTCCAGATGCACCTCTGACCACACTGCGTCCCGGCTCCCGCTTGGGGACTCCGGCAGCACTCAGGGGAAAGACCAGCCCCTCTGGGTGGCCCTGGCGGGCTGGCCCCGACCATACCTCATCTCTCACCATACTCCCCTCCCAATCCCACACTGGCCTCCTCAGTGCCCTGCGTGGGACACCGTAGCATCTGTGCATGTGCCCTTTGGCTGGTGACAGCCTCATGCCCCTCTCGCCCCTTGGCTCTGCCTGTCGCTCCTCCCTCTGCTCGTCAGCAGTCCTTAGGGAGCTCTCCAGGCCACTCCCCCGGCTCTGTGTCACCCAAGGTTGCAGTTGAACAGCTGGTTCCCTGCCTCTTTGCTTAGTAACTGGCTTCCCCTCCAGCCCCCAAGCTCCATGTGGGCAGGACCCGTCCAGTTTTCTTCACCATGTGCTTCTAAGCCAGCACCTGCAGGTCACACACGCCGTAAACATCATTCAATGAATTAATGAGATAGATCTTACTGCCCTTTTTTTCTTTTCCCCAAAGCCCCAAGCATGGTTGTATGTCCTAGTTGTAAGTCCTTCTGGTTCTTCTATGTGAACCGCCACAGCGTGGCAGCTGACAGATACTTGGTGTGTTTCCACCACCGGGAAGCGAACCCGAGCTGCCAAAGCAGAGAACGTGGAATTTCAACCACCAGTCCATCAGGACTGGCTCCTTACTGTCCCGTTTTATAGATGAAGAAGTTGGCTCAGAGAGGTTAAGCAATTTACCTGAGGTTGCTCAGTAAGTGGCAGTGAGGGATGCTACCTACCTACATTCATTTCCTAGGGCTGTCGGAACAAACTACCCCACACTGATTGTCTTAAAGCCACAGAAACTTATTCTCTCACAGTTCTGGAAGCCAGAAGTCTGAAAGCAAAGCATCAGCAGGGTGTCACTCCCTCTGAAGGCTACAGGAGATGATCCTTGTGCCTCTTTTAGCTTCTGATGGCTCCAGGCACTTAGTGGCTTGTGAGCGCGTCACTCCAATCTCTGCCTCCGCCTTCCCTGACCTCCTCCTCTCCTCCCTTTCCTCTCCTCTGCGTAGATCTACAAGGACTTGATACAGAGTGATCTCAGCTGGAGATCTTTAACCAATTATATCGACAAAGACCCTTTTTCCAAACAAGGTCATATGCATAGGTTCCAGGATGTGGCTGTATTTTGAGGGGTCACCATTCAACCCACTTCACACCTCAGGGTGTTCTCCATTAAATCACTACAGGGCTGCCTCACGATCGATCGCCTCCCTGCCCTTAGCTCCCCGTCAGCTTCCCACCACCTCCTCTCTGCCTGGGGGCCCCTGTTACCATGCGTGTGGCTTCTGTTTCCTGAGCTGGTGAGAGGTTTTAGCAGGAAGCCCTCCGATGTTTATTCTGGTGGCAGGCCGGGAGAAGGACACAGAATTGGAAATGAAATCCCAGCAACCTCCCGACCATGGAATGGGGAAAGTTTCACCAACTCCCCGCTGGAACCTGGCCCATGGGGGTGGGGGGTGGAGGGAGGACAGAATTTCGAGAGCAGGAACAGCCTGTGCAGGAGCACAGGCAGGAAGGGGTGCTCAGAGGAAGGTCAGTGGGGCAGGGGCCCACGGGCAGGGCTTTGGGCCACCCTGGCGGCCGTGGTGGGCTGAGCTGGGGAGGGGAGCAGGATGGATTTCGGCTGGGCGGACTTAAGGAGGCATCCCCATTGGCCAGGTGTGAGGAGACGCAGGCCTCAGTGAGGGCCTCAGGGGTTCTGGGGGCGAGGGGCGGACCCAGGACTCATTCTGAGAAGAGACAGCAGAACTGCTCCCAGACCAGGTCGGGAGGATGTGGGAGAGAAAACGATCAGAAGTGACGTCTCAGCTCTGGAATTCTGGTTGTGATGCCAGCTGCCAGGGTGTCGGGATCCCGGCTCGGGAATCCTGGCACTTGTCTTCAGAGACCTAAATATAGGGAGCTGGGACTTCCTCCAGCCCACACCACAGGCCATAGGAACCGTTTTCTCATGCTCGCCTGCTAACAAAGCTTGGTTCAGGACGGTCACCATCTGCAAGGGGCTTCTTGTTAGGAGAAGAATATATTTTCCTTGTTATTAAAAAAACAAAAGGACCCATAAACCCTTGCTACTCACGGGCGGTCCATGGACCAGCAGCACCCGCGTGGGGAGCTTTGTTAGAAATGCAGAGCCTCAGGTTAGAACGCTGACGTCCTGAGTCAGGCTCCGCGGGTTCTCAAGGTCCTGTCGGTTCCCGTGGACTTTACGGTCTGCGAAGCGCAGCTCCCAGGCTCAAAGCCCAGGGTGTATTTTTGGCCCTACTCCATCCAAACAGAGGATTTTAACTCCACATCTCAGAGCTGAGTGGGGCCTCAGGGCCCAGCCCCTGCCTTCCGGGGTGGCGTTAAGTCAATACTTCTGTTTCCCCCATGGGGCTGTGGCTTGCCCCGAGGAAGTGGTGGGCTTGGTCTGAGAACGCTCAGTTGTATCACTTTGTTTTTTAAACAGAAGTAAGGGAAGGATCATAATTCCTGGTCCTCCTGGGTGCCCGTGGGGAAGGGGTTCGGTTTGCACGGAGGTCTGGGGCTCTGGTGGCCCGGGAGCAGAGCAGCACCTCAGCACAGAGACTCTCGTGTTATTATCATCGTAACGACAAAGCCACCAGTTGTTGAGCGTGCACTGTGCGCACGGCCTGCTGCTAAGGGCTGTGCAGGCCTTGAGCCCCCTCGGCCCCCTGAGGGCTGGTTGAGGCTGTTGCTCCCATTTCACGGACCTCAGACTCACACGGTCAAGGTCATCTGGGATGAGCTTCTCATTTTCCCAGGTGGAAAGATTGAGGCCCAGAGAGGGAAAGTGGCTTTCCTGGAGGCACACAGTGCCAGAGGCAGACTGGGAGTCAGAACCAGGTCTCCGGGCCCCACCTCCCCCGGGCCAGTACTTTATCCCACTGCCTCATCACTGGGTCAAAGGAGAAGCTGCCCCAGTGCCCCTGTGTCTGCCTCACCTTCTCCCTTTCCTCACCCAGAGAGTCCTGTTTGTCCTGTCCCTCTTGCTGTCCGCAGCTGCAAACCACAAACCCTCCTGAGCACCTGTGAGCCCCTAGGACACCTTAACTTACCCTGTTTGCTGGGCGTGACCTTGGCCCTGCTCTTGCAGAATAATTGGAGTGGGTTTAAAATCGCCTGTCTCACATCATTGCCTGGTACTTCACGCCCTCCCAGGGGCGTTCTCATAGCAGCATCTAAACCAGCGTTGCCTTTTAAATTTCTATCGAGAATAACCAGCGCTCATTAAGCACCTGTTAACGCTGGTCACTGCACCTGGCCCCAGTCAAACATCATCTCATTTCATCCTCACGGCTGTCCTGTAATGTAGGCACTCCCACTTCACAGATGAGCAAACTGAGGTTAGAGGGGTGAAGTCATGGGCCTAAGTTGCTAGGTGGCAGAGCTGGACATTCTGAAACAAATGCTGCTAACGAAACCTTAGCAGATTTTACCCACAAGGGTGGGGAATATAGAGGCACCCACAGAGGAATGTGATAATACCTCAGATCTAAATATTACCAGACTCTGAGAACATCGGGGGGTACCTTTGGTTTCTCTGATAGCCCCATCAAGTACTGGCAGCTGGGAACAGGAGCGGCTTTAGTGGCACACTGGGACCCCAATGGGAGCAGGTGCTAGGTCAGGAGTAGCTGGACCCTCAAATCATCCAGACCACCCTCGATGGGAAACTGAGGCCCAGACTTGGGAGTGGCTTGCTGACAGTTGTCTTGTCCAACTCTTTATCCATGTTAATGAAGAAGCAGGGACCAAGAACTGGGAGCATTTGGGGGTCAGCCTGCCAGGTTGTTAAAATTCAAGTTCTACCTTGGCAAGTTACTGAATGTCTCTGTGCCTCAGTTTCCTCTGGTGTCAAACGGGAATAACAGTGTTCTTTACCTTATAGGGTGCTGGTGAGGATTAAGTGAGATAACCCATGTAAGCTGCTCAGCACAGAGCTGGCACGCAGGAAGCAGGCTGCGAGTACCGCCGAGGTGGTGGTGGTGGGTGGTAAGATGGGAAAGCCCTGGGAATCAGGAAACCTGGATTCTCGTCCTGCCTCTGAGACCCTCTTGTTGTGTGACCTTGAAACTGACTTTGGTTCTAAGAACACAGGCAAGGATCTTGTAAGGAGAACATCGGTGTCGTAGTTGGGCCAGTTGTTCAAGTCCTTCCCCGCAAGCTCCATAAGAGTAGGGCCCTTGTCCTGGCCTGTTCATCATCATATCCCACTATCTACAGCACTGATAGACACATGAGGGGCATTTAGTGTTTGTTGGTAGATGAATGGGTGGATGAAGGGATGGAGGGAGGGAGTGAGGGATGAGTGGATGGATGGAAGGATGCATGAAGGGATGGAGGGAGGGAGTGACAGATGGGTGGATGGATGGAGGGATGGAGGGAGGGAGTGACAGATGGGTGGATGGATGGAGGGATGGAGGGAGGGAGTGACAGATGGGTGGATGGATGGAGGGATGGAGGGAGGGAGTGACAGATGGGTGGATGGAGGGGTGGATGAATGGCTAGAAGGATGGATAGATGCACAGATGAAAGGATGAATGGATAGAAGGGT